TTGAATTATTTTACATTTGGCATTTCGAGACCTTTTATAGCTGACTATGCGGTATGGGTTTTGCTCATTGTTGAAAGCAAAACGATGACCTATAGTTGTTAACTTCTATGTCATTTATTCTATGGTGGAGAGTTGTCTCATTAGCAATCATACCACATCTACTTATTTTTATATTGGACAAAAATAGGCCAACGTTTTTACAATCGTTCAGGACTCTACATGCAAATATTATTTCCATTGAAACTAGCACTTATTTCAATGACTGAAAAACGTGGTAATTTTTTAAAATGCAATATGATAAGGGACTTATCAACTTATCAACGTAGGTAGTTTATAATGTAACGGGAGAAATATGGAATGTTTGGTAGGGACACGTAATTTATCCTTTTATAGCCGCTCTATTATGGTCTCATTACGGATTACCATCCCAACCAATGCGTTCATGTTACAAGACAAAATGACACATAAAACACAACTATCTTATTTGTGAAACAAAAAGATCAATAGTTTGATGGATATCAGATGTTTAAATTCAAGTCGTAACTATTTAATGCATATTCAACATGTGAACAAGTAAATGAAGGGCTTATAAACTTTTAATGCTACCAGAGAATATGAATGTTTAGTGGAATTTAGCCTTCCGTAACGGATCCTATTATTTTCAAAATCTACAGAAGAAGATTTGGGTTTTTTTTATGAATGATGGAGCATGGTATTCTCTGTCCGCAGACAAATTTTCCGCATTATGATATTACGGTACTAAACGTGGAGCTCGTGAGAGAAAGCATGTAAAGATAAACTATTAACGAAGAATTATATTTATATGCAGCAAAATTAAAGAGGACAATCTCTCATTTAGTGTGAAACTGTAATTTAAGACATTTAGACCATCATACTTCAGAGAAAGGAACATCGCACTTCAGTGCAAACCATCACATCTCAGCGTTGCATCGCACCCCGATTCTTACATATATAAACTCACAAAAGTTCGATACACATCCAAACTGTCATTACATTGGAAAAATATGAATTTTGAAATGCACAATAAATATATTGAAATAATGAAAAATACAATTTTACACAAACTATATCGTAAAGCTAACCGATAAATCCAGTCAATGTTTACAAAAGGGCCAAGCTGATCTTCTAGTAGCGTGATTGTCTTGAGATCGCGATATTGTGGGATTGATTCTCATCGAGGTCGAACGAAAAAGAAGAATTTGCTACTCCACATTTGATTTTTAGAAAATTAGTAGTTGCTACTTCTCAGACAAGCACACAGCATGTAGGAGTAAGAGCAAAGACTTGTCGGCTAGGATTCAGAATACTATGTCCGGGTAGGGTGACATGTCTTTCTTGGGACTGCTACCTTGTGACCTAGCTCATTAAAAACCCGAAAGTCATACTATGCATTTACAAATGTTGTCTGAGATTGCCCTGACATCTGACGGACTTTTTTAAGACTGACCCATCATGATGCCAAATGGAACCTTATTTGGAAAATTTCTTCTAAAATTTATGTCTCTAAAAACAGAGTCAATATTGGTAATAAAATACAGGTTAGGTATAATAAGCGCACAAAATTCGAAATAACATAATACGGAAGAACTTAAAAACCCAATAGGTAAAACATAACTTTTGTAAAGAACAAAACAAATGCTTTTTATCTTATAACATAAATATACTTACTAACTGTGCCCCAAGCAGACATACAAATAAGACGTTTTTTGTTTGCAGTTCTCATCGCGTTGACAATTGGTTTTATGCTGTCTAAATAAAATGTGATTGGAGACCATCCTAAAAAACTTGGTCGACATCCAAGACAAGATACCACGGCGTCTGTGTTTTTAAAAGTTTCCACCAAGTCATCTTCTTTAAGGATGTCCACTTCCTTCACCTTGTTAAACAAAAAATGAAGTATGACCTGTTTCCGAATAATTTATCATTTTATGACCACATAACTTATTTCAAAAAGTTTTTCTATATTTCCTAAAATGTACTTTGTCATAGATTCGTGTGTGTACTTTGTGGTTCTCGCAACACTATGTTGTATTTTTTAACATAAATTATATTTCCAAATCGCAAACGCTTAACTAGTATTTCTTTTCAAAGCTTAGTCAAAATTTTGATGGAAGTTAGGTTATGCCATGTCTTTCTAATACAAAAAAAGGATGTCCCTCCGATTCATTTTTTTAATGTAAAACTTGTAATGAAATGTATTAAAACTGTCTTATCTGACAATATAAAGCGTCGATTTATGTTTATTTGTTTAAAAATCTTTAAAAGTTTTTCATTTTTTTACACTCAGCAATATTAAATTCCACTATTTTTTATTATCGTTTCGATTTTACAACTAGTGAGTAGAATAAATATAGGGGAAACTAGCCTGTATACATGTACCTCTATACAGTATTTATAAATTTTGATTACCAATCGAAATCAAAGATCCCATAAATACATTTATTTAAGCTATATTAGATATATATAGATACATGTAGATAGATATGAAACATCTGTTGGTATTCACTGACTATATTTCAATCTTATCATTTCAAAGTTAATATTTGACAAAGTATTGAATTGATATGCCATAGGGCTTAAATGATGACATCAGACAATGTAGTGTGTCCATATTAATGCACATCCAACCCAAATAACTACTTACAATAAAAAGGTCTCAATATATATTAGCTTCCCTACTTGTTTTCTGCCACACTATTTTTTTGTTAAATTTTACGTGAATGTGACAATGTTTGATCACCCCTTTCGTATTTCTTAGTCATCCTATCCATGTATATTCATCATATAGGGTTTGTACAGTGACAATTTGATTTTTGTGGTTTGCTTTACACAAATCTATCAACGTTTCACAACAAGAAACCGGCCGGTCATCTTTTGTGAGGGAGGGGGCGGGCTTTTTTTAACAACAAAAAATTGATTTCATGTTTTTTAAACAATGTTGTTTTAAAAATCAAGTGGGAAAAAAAGATTATTTCAATTGAAAATTGGTAAACAATATTGCTTTTAAAAAAATCTTGTTCCTGTAGGTTACTGAAAAAAATAAAGTTGAAAACTAATGTTTTCCCTAGAAAAAAACTAATGCCTAATAAAATATGCATGGTCGATGCTTCAGTACATTCTTCAAAAAGTGAAAGCGTTGTATATTTAATATTGGTCCCAGACCCGTCGTATATAGACTGACTTATCACTATGACAAATCATAATGATTTACTAAGTGACATGGACATTTACAATGACCAATGGTCGCTCAACAATCTCTTTTGCCTATAAAGATATAGATTAATTAGGTTGTTTTTTCTTAATGATGTTGTTATGACTATGTCTATCAGTTATATCACTTTACTCAGTACTTGGGAGTACACTATAAAGTACTCTGTAAAAGCAAGTGTACAATCTCCAAAAAACTAGGGATTTAATTTTGGGCAGGGCCCAGTCTCCTAGCTTATGATGAAGCAAAGATCGATACGGGAAAAATCGGTAAATTCGTTCTTATAATGTTATAAATACTACAACTTAACATATAGGACATCATTATATAAAAGACCATTTATGGAAGCTGTCAGTATTATCGATTTTGATCATTTATGATGTTAAACGTATAAATTTTAATAAAAATGTACAAGTCTATAAAAGTCTGCGCTTATTAAAAACCCATTCCAGCTGTTACCTTTTATGTTGTTACAATAATGGGCAATTAAAATTATTCTGAATATATCGTGTTATTTTTGTTCAAGGTGACGATCTCTTTCCACTACAAACACATGTTCAATAACGATGTGACAAACTGCACATTACAAATAAACATCCTAAAAAAAAAACCATATGAACAGGTAAAAATTACTGTGTATCCTAAATTTATATATCAAAATGCAACCTCTGCTTGAATTTGAACTCGCCTAAAACTTTGTTAGATATATATTCCAATTCATTATATCGCTTTTCAAAATCTCACATGTACCGTTAACATACCTTAAGTTTATCGTTCGTTACTGAGCTAAGTCCTTCAGGATTTCTCACCAAAGCAAAGACTTCGTGCTCATTTTTCAATGATTCCAACACAAACTGCAAACCAGTGGGACCTGTTGCACCAAGAACGGCAATCTTCATAGTACCTGTCAGTACTGATATCCAACTTCTCAGGTGGCAGGTACCAGTTCTTAGCCTCTGTGCCAGTGTCCCACGTAGAAAATTAGTATTTAAAAACTTTGGCTATCTTTGACACTTCACTGGGCAGTGATAAATAAAAAGATTTAAAATTCTAAGTTTGCATTACACAATGCTACCTTCCCTGTTTTCATTGATATGCATCATTCATGGTTTTATCTTTGTTTGACATGAAAAACCTAGAGTCCCATATACATACTGTTTGAAGGCTAGCTATACATTTTTATCATGTTTTCCATTGGTCAAAACAATTGGTTCTTTAAGGACAGTGTAAAGTGTCAAATTTTGATGGTAAGGATAGGTTCCGCTGTTGTTTATTCGAGGTGCAAGTGATTAAATTAGATGATTTTGAATGATTTTCTTGTCAGTAATTAGCAGGTTTGATGCAATGAGGTCTGGAATAGGGTGCAAAATTGAAAATTTGACATGATTTTGTCCGTTATCTGGGAAAAGTAGGTGATTCGGGATAAAGAAACAATATAAAAAACATTGACCAGAATTACTTCACTATCAGTTTCAATTTATTCTTAACACACAAAAAATATCTAGGCATGTTTAAGTCTTACAGATTTATTTACAGAATTTTTTTTTAATTTGGCATGCACTTGCACGTGAACTAATGAAAAAAAACCTGGTTTCTGCCACCATTAACATAGATGATGAAATTAAAATGGAAGGCAGAAGGTTAATTTCACCTTTTAAAAATAATTTCAAGTGTTTTCACTCTAAATCACCCCGAAAACAATCAGAAAATACAGTTTCAGGGATTAACTCATGGTTTTTGTAAATGCATTGAAATTCGAGGAAGATAACTCTATTCAGATACTGATTTTCAAGTTTTATACACAAGTTGAAAGAGTGTGTTTGCTGCAAAAATGTTACTTACAGTTGACTATTCAGTAAGCATATGATATTCCAAAATGTAAAATATGTATAGTAATCAATAATTTACAATGATTCAATGTTTTTCTGATTATATTTTCAGTGGAAAACAGCACTTTTTGTATATTCATAGTGTAAATAAGTAAATATCCCAATTGTCTGACTTTTTTAAATGTCAGCTTACACAAAATGAAAAAAATAAGCTTTTCTCTGTTTTTGAAACAAAAACAATTAGTCAGTGGATGTTTGCTCTGTACAGGGCAACAGAATAAAGGCTATGGAGTTTATGAAACAAGATTTAGAGGGAAAAAAATAAAAAAATTTGCCCATCGACTCAGCTACTTTATCTCTGACAATTTTAATCCAATGGATCATAAATTGAATCTTTCACATTTATGTCACAATGAACTGTGCTTAAGGAAAGAACATTCATCATAGAACCACAGAGAATAAATAACAAGCGCAAGATTTGCAAAAATAATGCAGAATGTTTGTTACACTATGGATACCCAAATGTTTACTGTAACATTCAGGTAAAGTCTCTCCTGTTAGCGTATTGATGTTCATTTATCATGTTCTCGTTTGCACAGTTTTTCTGAATGTGTGGTATTCACCCGTTTTGTCACAAAGTCTCATATTTTTGATAAATGGGTCTGTCTTTCTGTATTTAAGTCATATGGCTTTCAAGTAACATACATGATTTCCCATTTCCCAGAGATAAGGGATGGATCGCAGAATGACATAAACCTTCCAAATTCCTGGTCCAAATTGTATTTTTTGGTGTAAATGAAAATACCTTACTATGGAAACTTTCACACTTGTTGGTTGTTGATCGACGGGAAATTTTCTGTATCTCAAAGTTAGAAAAGTTCTTTCCTAAAACTGATTTCAATTTTTTTATGTCATTCTGGTTCAGTTCCAAATGCCTGGCATATGGCAAGTAGCTTGTATTATACATAGATAAATGAGCAGAGCAAACAAGAGAATCTTTCCTACAGTTTCTATGATCATTTGCAAAACAATGAATAACATTTTCAACTGCTCTCCTGTCGCGCTCAATAAAACTGCACTCATTGGCAGAGAGCCTTTTAATTAGAGTGAACTCAGTATACCACTTGCCAAATTTCTTACAAGAATATCCTTGTCGAACCCATGCATTAAGCTGCTTAGTTTTACATTTCACACATGTTTTTGTAAGGTTCTCAACTTGTGGACAAAGCATTTATAGTGGCGAATCGGTATGTTATTGCCTTTAGAATAATCATTTACAGATTTGGGAATTTGGGCAGAGGCATCACTGGTAACAGAACGTACTTTTAAAATTTTATTACTGTTTATTTCATTTAAATGTCGTTTTACAAACTTCCCTTCAGTTAAGACATTGACTCGTCAGTATTGTAGTTTTTTTTACATTTGTCATTGTTATGATTACAATTTGATTTTGGACAAAACGTGTTGGCTACTATCAAATTTACTAGTAGCTTCCTTCTTGTATTATGCTCGATGATAGGACAGAATGTTTGAGATGCTGCTTCAAAACCAGCTTGCGGGCGATTGTTAAAAGAAGAATCTACCTCCGCATCAAAGGAATTGTCTTGTTCTGCACACTCAAGGACTTTTTTCACATATTCCTGGTTCTCCATCATTGTATTTTTATTGATGTCAACCATTAAATCTGATATTTTGTTGACCTCTCTTTGCATTACCGTCCGACTTAAGCACTGAATATTAAGGCAAGACATTATTGTAATGATATCTGAGATCCCAACTTTTGATTTGATCACTGGTATCAACAATGCATTGTTTAGTATACCACTGTCTGGGCCTGTAGGAGATTTCATTGTTGAATAAAGTTTTACAGGTTCAGACGAGAAGCCACAATTTGTACATACTACTTTTACTGAAACACAAATACCCAACCTTTTCGACATGACAACATCTGGTTTAGAAAGCGAACAATTGTGCGGTATAAATTCAATGATAAGATTTGTTAATTTTTTAAGTGTTACAATTATATTTTCTTCTGAATCTTCAGAAACTGAAAAATCATTCAAATTTTCACATTCCTGATCTTTTTCAGGTCTCATTTTTGAAGGAACCAGGTGTTTAGCATGTTTAGTGTCTGTTGTTTGATTATCACTCAGAACTTTTACAGCATCATTGTATTCCTGTGAATTTTGACGTTTGAAATCAGAAGAAAAAGAACAGTTTCCATTTGATTTCTAAGAATCCTTGTGTATTGGAAAGTGTTTATGTCCCTTCTGAAACACTTTTTTTTGCTTTGAACGATTTGTTAAGAAACTTCGACGAGAATAAACCATTTTAAATTAGAAACGACTATCACTTACAACTTGTTTATATGAAATGGAAAGGAATTTATGATGGGTCAATTTGACAAAGTAGAGTGCAATAAGAATTTAAAATAGAAGGGATACAGTTTCAACATCTCTGAATCATATGTTTTGATAGATTTAGAACTTTATGTCCTGTGCTGAGTCATCTAAAAGAGGTTGATAGATGCTGTCAAAATATTTACTTATTACCTCCCTTTGACTGTCATATATTAAATCTAACATAATAAATCAATGTGAGGTATATGAATGTAACATTATATAACACAAATAGCAATTTATTTTTTAGTTCAATGGACTTTTTTTAACATATGAGTACATGCCTTGGATAAAATTATACTTTTATTACATATTTTGAACTGAAAATCTCTGGAAATTTGAAAAGTGGGGTAATATTTTTTATATTTTTTCATAGACATGTAATGTTCTTGGCCTTTTTACATGTTTTCTTTTAATAAAATTTACTACATAATAATTCTATATGGTTTTTATTTGTGCCTAACACATTTAAGTATTTTTTAAGCATTTTTCTGTGATTGTCAGTGACGGCTGGAATTTTGAATGAAATTCCGCAAAGACACCACCTTCCTTTGAAAGCCTGTAAAATTTGTTTCATGAAGAAATATAACTCTCATTTAAGATTTTTTAATTAAAAAAAAGACTAATAAACTTGTACATAACATCAAAAGTCAAACACATACAATATAAAAAAAATGCGTAAGGTGGCAGGTACCAGTTCTTAGCCTCTGTGCCAGTGTCCCACGTAGAAAATTAGTATTAAAAAACTTTGGCTATCTTTTTCACTTCACTGGGCAGTGATAAATAAAAAGATTTAAAATTCTAAGTTTGCATTACACAATGCTAGCTTCCCTGTTTTCATTGATATGCAACATTCATGGTTTTATCTTTGTTTGACATGAAAAACCTAGAGTCCCATATACATACTGTTTGAAGGCTAGCTATACATTTTTATCATGTTTTCCATTGGTCAAAACAATTGGTTCTTTAAGGACAGTGTAAAGTGTCAAATTTTGATGGTAAGGATAGGTTCCGCTGTTGTTTATTCGAGGTGCAAGTGATTAAATTAGATGATTTTGAATGATATTCTTGTCAGTAATTAGCAGGTTTGATGCAATGAGGTCTGGAATAGGGTGCAAAATTGAAAATTTGCCATGATTTTGTCCGTTATCTGGGAAAAGTAGGTAATGCGTGATAAAGAAACAATATAAAAAACATTGACCAGAAGTACTTCACTATCAGTTTTAATCAATTCATAACACACAAAAAATATCTAGGCATGTTCAAGTCTTACAGATTTATTTACAGATTTTATTTTAATTTGGCATGCACTTGCACGTGAATTAGTGAAAAAAACTGGTTTCTGCCACCTCATCGATATTGTAATGTAAAGGAAGTAGAGTTATCTCTCTTCTTTCAAAAATATACGCAAAATGTGAGATAAGTTATTCCCCTTGGTATTATTGAATATCTCCTCGTTACCAGTTGCGGATCCAGGATTTTGAAAGGGGTCAGGGGCCCCCAAATTAGAAAAAGTATGGATTGAAATAGGTAAAAAGTCTAGATTAACCATAAATGTAGCTCCATAAGGAGGCCCCGGTCACCCCGCCCCTCTTAACCGCCTCTGTTTACATATTCGATTATATATCATTCATGAATAAAAATAAATACATTTACATACTTACAATCATCCTTTCAGTCATAATTATCATCTTTATTTATCGTTAACGTTGAAATTATATATACAATCCACTATAATGGGAATAATAAGAATTTTGCGCTAAATAAATGATACGGGCTATGTTCTCATATATTTTATGATGGTATGATACTAAACCCCTAACGGGAGGGATTTTGCTTGATTTTCATATCATGAAGACATACTCTTTCAATCAGTTTAATTGAGGTCTGGGGCTGGCATGTTCGTGACTGCAAGTAGTCCTTTGTAAATTTATGTTATCATTGTCATTTTGCTTAGTTTCTTCTGTTACCTATTCTTACATCGGATTCGGACTTCCTTTAAACCGAGTTTTACTGTGCGTATTGCTGTGTTTGTTTATTCTACATTGGCTAGAGGTATAGGGGAAGGGTTGAGATCTTTCAAAACATGTTTATCCCCACCGCATTTTTGCGCCTGTCCCAAGTCAGGAACCTCTGGCCTTTGTTATTCTTGTATGTTTTCTTTTAATTTTTGTTCATCAATATGTTTCGGAGTTGTGTGTGACGTCCATTTTCTCTGAACTAGTACACATTTTTATCTAGGGGCCAGCTGAAGCTTGTCTGCGGGTGCGGGATTTTCTCGCTGGTGGCCTTCAGCTGTTTTCTCTTGGTTGGGTTGTGGTCTCTTTGCCACATTCCCTCTTTCTATTCTCAATTTTATGATACCGATTTAAGTAGATGACCCAATGCTAATACTCTTTATTACTTAGTGGCGGACCCAGCCCCCACCCCATCCCCCTCCCCCTCATCTTTTGGTCGCAAAAAGTATAAACAAATATAAAGTTTTCACGATATATATAAAAAAAATTCAATTATCGGGAATTACGCCCCTTTCAAAAATCCTGGATCCGCTCCTGGTAATCATGTATATTTATACATAACATTATATACTGTAACAAAGGTTTCTGCTATATGGTACAACACACAAA